AACATCTCGTATATATTTTCCATACCGTAAGGAATATTCTTTAGGATTCCTTGAATCGGGTTTTCAATCACTGAATCGAATTATATATACTTTGCGTTCACTTCAAGAATTTTATTTGCTTTTCGCAGTTCAGTACAGAATGAAAATTTTTAGCCTAACTTTCCCCTAAACTTTCGATTTTTGTCGTGAGTTTCCCCTTCCGTTCCCCTTCCGACTACTGGCGCTCAAATCAATGCCCAAAATGTATACACATTTTTTGGTCGCAAAAATATATATTCTGTTTTTGAAATGTATTTATATATTTTTATTTTTTTTTGTTATCACAAAACATAATCTGGTGTTTATTCTCTCCCTTTCCTCCCTTTCCTATTCACATCGCCTGTGATATCGACTCAAAGATTTAGTTCACATTTTTTTCTGAGCAATGATTTAGTTTTTTTGTGCGCCTATGATATCAACGACACATTTCTGGTGCTCTGGTATTATATATATATTTATTAATATATAAGCAATTGATTATAAAATTTATTTTTTACAAATAATAAAATTGTGAAATTAAATATATATTTTTTCATATAAGTTTTCACTGTAACCCATTCCCCTCCCCTTCGCTCCCTATCCCCTTGTTTTTCAGCGCTGACCTCAATTATGAGGTTTTAGATTTCATTTGCAAATAAATCATTAATAATAAAAAGCACACATTTTTATTGCGGAATACATATATATTTATTTGTATTTTAATTACGATAAATATTATATGATTACAATAAATATACATATATTTTGCATTTGCCTAATCTTTATGCCACTTATACTTTGCATTCAATTCAATGCGATATTGTGTTGTTATGCGCTGTTTATATCGATTGGATAAATATTTTTATTTATGTCTTTTAGGGTATATATAAAATTTTTATTTTTATTGTAAATAATGTGTTTTTAAATCAACATAGGAATCCTTCAGTTTCTGAATTAAATTTCTATTTATTTTACTTTACGAAAACTTATCATAAGCCAGATATAAAATTTTTAGCGATTAATTTTTAAAAACCTTTTATAACTAGTCTATTTTTTTTAATTTATAGATTTTTAGATTAACATTTATGCTAGCTCAATTGCTAAACTCTATTCGGGTTTATAATCTTAAATATATTAAGATAATGATTAGCTCTGGACAGTTTTTAAATATTTCTATATTGTTTAGACCATCAATATATTTTTATTGTTTATTTTAGAAATGAGTAAAAAACGTGAATATATTGCCATAAATTCAAGTTTTTTTTAAATCATTCCCAAGTTTCCTGAAAAACAAACTCAAAACACATAAAAAGTTTTGGATATAAAAAATATTTTCTTATCAAAAGCTAAACTATACTTATTTTTTGTTTATTAATATAAAAAACTGTTTCATTCAGTGTTTGAAAAAAAGCTTGACATAACATAAAACTTAAAACTTATTTTGAATTTTTAGATTTTTTAAAAGCAATTTTTTGTGTGCGAGTAATAAAAATAATATAGTTATAGAGAAATGTGAGCGAAAAATATGTATTTATTTTTGTTGAGAGAAATACGATATACGAACGGATCAAAAGTGAAAGTTTTAAAAAAAACTTTACTTTTTGCGACTAAAATAAATAAATAAATTTAATATTTATGGCCATTCATCCGATACGACTAGCGCTCTCATAAACACGTTATTTGAGTTTGATTGTTGATGTTTTATATGATCATAGCATTATAATATATTATAATAATCATATATTAATATCTCAAAATGTGTTTAGAATGTGTGAATTGCAAACATAAAAATTGGATATAGTTTGTATCATTTTTGTTTGAACAAGACAATTAAGTTAGGTTGATGAATTAGTGCTCATAATGGGTATTTGAATTTGAATATGTTTATATATTATATATTATAGAATTGTACCGTACATAGTACATAGTTATATATTGTACCATACTAAGACTATTTGCATGGAAACAATTATTAATGAAAATGATAATGTTACCCAAAATATATACTTTAATTGCTAACTTTTACTTTTTTTTGTGATATTCAAGTCACACATTTATTTATGTTTTAACGGATTTCAAACATTTATTTGTGTCGAAAATCTCCACTTTCAGGCAAACTTTATAACTTGTATATATTTATAGCCATAATTTTATATCACATTTTTGGATATCGATATCTATTTATGTTTGAAATATAACTCAAAATGTTTTATTATCAACGAAACAAATCGAGTCCAGACAAACATAAAACACTTTTATCTATAGCCAAAATACTACAGCCTATAATCGTTTATATTATGTCATAAACTTTATTTTAGCTAATCTATGGGTATGTGTGTCAGCTATTTAAGCAAAAACATATGCAACTAAATTTTATGCATGTATACTCGAAATGATTTTATTACACTTCGACAATATGTGCATGCTTATATTTTATAAATTATATTGAGATTATACAGTACGTCTGTAAGTCGACTGTAGATTATTTGCCTATTTTGTCAAATATTGTTTGTTGTATTTATATAAACAAACAGAAAAATCCGGTAAATACTTGTTTTATACTCATTTATAATACACAGAACATGACTACTAATTATTTGTCGCGTTTTTATTATCTAGTTACTTCTCTCTCTCTCTCTCTCTCTCTCTCTCTCTCTCTGCCATTCATTTCCCTATCATATTGTTTACATTAATATCACTTTTATATAACATTTATTTCTATCCCAGTGCTATATTGCACTCCTAGTTGTATATTATCAGCAAAAATGTATTTTCGATTTATACTGTATATTAATATAAAAGTATAATATATTTATATATGAAATACTTTCCTCTTTGGTGTCGTTAACCCTTTTCCATAACATAATGTCTGTCCTGTTGTCTACAATATTTCTCTCTCCGTATTATATCATATATTTTGTATACTTTTATAAAATTTTTATAAATTATGAGTAGTGTCTGGAAAATATTGAAACATTTTTTATTAGACTGTATTTTATTAGTGTTTAGTTAAATATCATATTTAATGCAAAAAGCTAAAATCTATTTCATTAGTGTTTATATAATATATTATATTAAATATAATTTATTAGGCACAAAGATATTTGACCATAAATATGAGACAGATACTGCATGCATGCCAAACAAAAATATTAATATATGAGACAGCAATTTATATATCTACTTTAAGCTTAGATTTTTGTTAATAATTATTTTAGATAAACATTTTACTGGATTTTTGAAAACTAATTTTGAAAAATATTATTAATTAAAGAATTAATTAGACGACACTATGTAAATGGTAATTATTTACAAGTATATTAGTGAAGGTAAACAACATATTACTGAAAATGAATTTTGAAAAAATATCAAGTAATTGATAATCTTTTTAATACTAAACATCCGATAGCTATACAGATATTTATAGATTTTATAATAGGTTTTCTCGGAATATAGTTTTTCCCAATTTTTTTATTACATAAATTGTAATTATATTTCATATTTTAGAGATGATTTCGCTATATTTATTTGAAATTGATTTTTGTTTTTCATAATAAATTTTTGTTTTTGCAATTAATATTCATTTGAACCAGAAAACATTTTTATAGTATCAATACCTTATATACCGTCTACACGTAACTCATATTATTAAATATGGTTTTAGTGTTTATATCAGCGAAAGGCCCTTAAAATATGTTTATATTTAGTGCTAATTATCATTAGTTTCTTAGCAATTATCGGAGGAAAATGTTTGCGAAAAATATATTATATTTTTCTAAATTATTATATTTTTCGTTTTATTATATTTTTCGTTTTATTATATTTTTCGTTTTATTATATAATAATTATTATCATACTTAAACATATAATATTCACTAATTAATAATGAGATTTTTATGTTTTAAAATTAATTTTTATTATTATTGCAATTTCCATGTTTTGAAAAGCTTATTATAATCTGTTTTGACATTCAAACGACTCGTACTATACATCTATAATTCAAATGTCATTTTAATATCTCAAATATACTACAGTATTATAAATTATTTGATGACAAAATATGTGTTATGCCGTTAAAGGAAATAATTATTGATTTTTAAATTGTGTTTTTGTCTCTCATTTTCTGTTTTTGTCTCATTTGTACGATTTTTAGGGAAATTTTTCACATTTAATAATTTATATGATTTTTAATGATTTTATGATTAGCAATAATGTTTATCGAGTATTTTAAATTCATCATTATAAATAGTTAATTAATGTTTGTTGTCAAAACACATTAAAAGGTTTTGTTTTTCAAATGACATTATTTTCACAGATTATTAGATAACAATCGGCATTTGAATCCATTATAAATATAATAACTTTAAATCCCTTAATGTATTATAGTTATTTTTTGTTAACATTTTCCAATAAAAGTTTTTTTGATCAGAAATTGACCTAAAATTGCATTTTCTCTAAGTTATACATTTATTTGTAAAAAATACTTGAAAATACGAAATCCAATGATAAAAACTAATGGCGAAAATGAATTCAACTTATTTTTATTGCTTTCCAAATGCGTTCTCCCTTTACCACCCTTTCCCCCAATAGTTTTCGCTAAGGAATGACATGTTAAGTAGAAAAAATTACTTTTCTATCCCAAATAATGGTTAAATATTGTATAACTTTTCATTCAATACATTTGTACTTCCTTTTCATTTCTCTCTCTCTCTCTCTCTCTCTCTCTCTCTCTCTCGCACTCACTTTACGCACATTTTCATTGTGTGTAATATCTTTGTATATTGTATTCATTTATTAAAGAAAATTACATTGCATAAATATAAATTGTCTACCATATTAATTTGAATAATGAATAAAATATTTAAATATTTTACGAATATCTAAATTAATGGTGAGCATAGTATTGGCTCACAGTTGTGTTTAAATTCTTTCGTATAAATTATTGTCGTTTTTAATATTAAAAATAGAAATACTCGGCGAATATGATCGCGAAATATGTGCACAAAATATCAAAAGTCATTCCCGACAGAGACATCCACTTTCCCGAAGTATATGATTATTATTTTTGTTAATAAATTCTTTGCCCAAGATTTGACTTATAAGTGAAAAATTGAAATTTAATACTCCATAATAAAATCAGACATTTTGATGAACAAAGTTTTTTAAGAATCATATCTCATCTGATAATAGACTACAAAAGGTTTTTCTAATTCATCATATTTTCCAAAAGCTCGCTGTTTATGAGAGACAGTAGTCTATAATTTTGTCGACCCATCCATAACCCAAAAGTTATTGATTACTGTTAATAGTATTTAAGATTTGATTAATTTTTGCGAAAACATATTCAAACTGAAATGAATTTTTCGTTTTCATATTTGTATTTCAAATTTGCAAACTGTGTAAATAATTATCAATCAATTAATTATTAACATATTTAAATTTTTAATTTAAACCTTGTTTTCATATGTCACCAGAAAATATGTAAAAGCAATTCTTGGCTAACTTTGCCGCCCGTACCCCCTCACCAAATACCACTCCATCATAGCTATTGATAAACATCTGAATAGTTTTGTTTGAGTTATGAAACATTTTTATTTATTTTTTCTTGCCATCTCTCTCTCTCTCTCTCCCTCCCTCTCCCGTACCCCCTCACCAAATACCACTCCATCATAGCTATTGATAAACATCTGAATAGTTTTGTTTGAGTTATGAAACATTTTTATTTATTTTTTCTTGCCATCTCTCTCTCTCTCTCTCTCTCTCTCTCTCTCTCCCCGACTATCTATAAACACAAGACTAGTGTTTGGGATACGGATCGAGAGCCCTGATATCCAAAATCAAAAATGACTGAATAGTCGTCTCTCTCGCGGAGAAATGGGTTGAAAAAATCGCGACACAAAAAGTTTTACCAATTTTTTATGTATCAAAAAAATATTTCCTATTTTTGTGACCAAATTAGGCATCAACGCAGCCATCGATGCGATTATTTTTGGTTCTTAACCCTAATGTGTAGACAAAATAATTTTTATTTATTTATTTAATAACTTTTACATATATAGCCATGCTAATTTCATACACAATTTAAATGCATTATATTTGATTCTTTGTACTTAAATTTTAATTTAATATATTTTTAACTAAATACTTTTACATAAATTTACATAAATACTAAAAAAAATATATTTATATAAACTTTCACTTTAATATTTTATTAAAAATTTTCTAATTATTATTTGGATAATGGACTAAATATGAGTTTGAAATGACCTGTACCAATTATCATAAATGTTGAACACATTAATAACATTCATTTTTCACTCGCGTTTGTAGGCCTCGGCTCGACATCAGTGCACATATTTAGTGAACTTATCTCGGGATGAGTTCCTGGCATCGGGTGGTGATCCACAATGGCTACAGGGATTGGATCACATTCCGCAGAAACTTAAAGATCTGAACCAAATTAACAAACTGCTGGCCCATCAGCCCTGGCTTATCGGCAGATCCCATATTGAGGTAATTATAGACCTGTGGCTCGAGAGTGCTATTAGTTTGTGACTTTCGGTGCAAAATATCTATGATTTGATTGAATGCTATGATATCATTATATAAAAGTCTAGTGACATGTAGTTTAAGGAGCTGTATGTGTGGCTTTCGGTGCCTACTTTCTATTCAGACCCCAAACTACCGGCCCTTTAATTTGAACGCAAAAAGACTATGCATTTGGGTTTCAAATGAAATATCTCTTTAATGCTATATATAATCATAAATCAAATGAATAGAAAGTATGAATTTTTTTAGTGTTATATAAATTTTTATTTTTTTGCAAAACACTGAGAAATATTTTGCTATTATAATAGTTTTTATTTACCCCGTACTTTTAATATTATTTAACAGTCATTAAATGAAATGCCATTTATTACTATTAGTGTTATATAAATTTTTATTTTGTTGCAAAACACTGAGAAATATTTTACTATTATAATAGTTTTTATTTACCCCGTACTTTTAATATTATTTAACAGTCATTAAATGAAATGCCATTTATTACTATTAATCTAATTTAACATTACAGACGAGACTCGTATCTTAAAGTTTTTATTTTGTTGATGAGTGGCATAGCATTTATTTTAGGCACCAATTCATACCAAAAACTTAAAACACATTACAATACACAGACTATTCAACAAAAATATTTGTTATTTTTGCGAGTTTCGAGAAAATATGAGACTCTAAATGACTGATTGAACGTAATTTAATTATATTTTTATGACTTCCCATCGGCCTATTATGCCGGGGAGTAAAGTGTCTCAACCATTGTGTGGTGTCTATCCATCAGATGAGAGTGAATGCGCTTAAGATTGAAGAAATGTTACCAAAAATTTTTTCTTTGCATTTCTTTTGTGCACTTATTTTGTTGTTTTGCTTTCAGTTTGTTTTTTGTTGTATTTTTTGCGTTGAAAAGACACTTTCGTTCGCTCTTTAGACCAGATTTGTCGTTACGAAACAAAAAACTACTTTTCATTTTGGTTTTTATCGTTTTCTTGACTTTTAATTAAAATTCATTTCTGTTTCACAGCAAACGACTCGAGCTTTTTATCACTTGTTTTTTATATGTCTCATAATTTACTTCGCTATTCAGTACTAATGTTTCACTCAATCAGTCTCCCCCTCCCCTCCCTATCCCACTGCTAAACCCCTTATCATTTTACGGATATTTTTATTATTTTATTGCTATTTAATAATTGGTTTCTAGAAAATAACAAAATATTTGCGAATATGAGTCACAGAAACATAAGGAAAGAGACAAACGATTATTATTCGCAACACTTGAGAGACAGTCTGTCATCACTTGTTATGAAATCATACATAAAATATTTCTCTAATCGTTATCTCAAATGAATAGTCACCTGAAAAAGAAAAATCAGAAAATAACAAAAGCCTAAAAATAGTGTCAATAAACGACTTTTAGTCCCAAATCGCGAACCCTTATCAATACATTGAAGCAATACTTGAAAACACAAACTAAAACACATCATAAAAAACAAATTTAAACAAAACTGACTAAAAAACTATTCTCACAAAAAACACCCAGAAATTGACGAAAGGGTCGGACTCGTGGTCACTGTCCGAGTTGGTTCACGCCATCGTAATACTGTCGCACTTTCACGCCCTGTCCTCCTTCGTGTTTGGCTGCAATATCGGTGCCGACGGTCACACTCTCGCCAACAACGGCGACGAGAAGGAGAACGGACACAACGGTCACAACCACGCGGTGGTCGTCGTCCCGAACGCCGGCGCCGTCGGCATCAGTAACGCCAACCATAAGCAACAGCCGCCGTCGCCCACGAGTCTGGGCGGCTCGCCCACCACCGGCGCCGAGGTGGAGGCGCTCATGAAGAAGTTGCAGTCGATTAACGAGCAAAAGGGCGCCGCCGGTGAGGACACGGCCTCCCAGGAGGACCTGTTGAAGAACTTCGACAAACTCGAGTACCAGTCGCAGGAACTACACTCACCGCTGTTCGCTTCGAATAACCCGATGTCGATACCGGTGCCCGTGGGGCCACAGGCCGCCAATAACCAAACGAATAGCGCCGGCAATGGGGGCACGAGTAACCAAAATAGCGCCAGTAATTCGGGAGCGCCGGTGGGCAACGGGAGCGCCGGTAACGGTGTCGGGCAGCCGGTGATCGACCAGTCGTTGAGTGAGTTAATAAAGTTTATCGAAGACCCCCACTTCGGGTACGAGGACTTTGCGCGGCGCCGGGAGGAGTCGGACTTTCCCACGTTTCGCGTGCAGGACTACTCGTGGGACGACCACGGCTTCAGTCTCGTGAACAGACTTTACTCAGATATCGGCAATTTGTTGGACGAGAAGTTCAAGATTTGCTATAATCTCACCTATTATACGATGGGCAACAAGACCAATGTCGATACCACGCCTTTCCGGCGGGCCGTTTGGAACTACATTCAGTCTATGTATGGCATCCGACACGACGACTACGACTACCGCGAAGTCAATATTTTAGTCGAAAGGAACCTCAAGTCCTATATTAAGTCGTTGTGCTGTTATCCCCATCGGGTCCGCACTAACCGGGACTACACCAAAGTCATGCGCGGCTTCAAGTCCTCCGAAAAGGTATGTCTTCTCGTGTTTTCTCTCAACATTTATCTGTTCATACTTTTTTGCTAATTGTAGGCTAACTATCCCTCTAAATATTAGCCATGTGTCCACTATTTTGCAAACAATATTTTGAGTTTTAAGTTATTCTTATGGTTTATATTTGCATTTTAGTAAAGTTTCATGTTGCCATTATTTCACTTTCTTACAAATTCTTTATATCCATTTTGGTGTCATTTCCATATAATATTATACCAATTTTAGCGTCGATCCAATTCATTACCTTTTAGTCTTAAAATATTATTATTATTATTATTATTATTTGAAATGCAAGTCCTTTTTATCTGATTCTCATTCATTCACTCGTTTGTGCTCTAAATTCTTATATTGACTGTACTTTTCGGTATAATTTAGAGAATTAGTCTATTTTTAAATTATACTATTTTTCTCATATATAATTCACATCGTATTTGCTTTAATTTATTTGATGCTCTCTCTATCTCTCTCTCTCTCTCTCTCTCTCTCTCTCATTCATTCAGTCAGTCATTCAATTGTACAAAACAATATTATCGCAAACTTTATGGTTTGACTCTAATTACGTTATCTAATATATTATTTTTACCCTAATTTTATTTGCAACGAATATAATGCCATTTAATGAGAGGAATTGAGAGCTAAACTGTAGAGTGAATTAAGTGATGGTTAAGGGAATGGTAGGCGAAATAAAAAGGATAAATACTGTACTCCACTGTTCATAGCTCTCTACGAATAGCCATAAACTTCTCGCTCATTGATGTATAGTTTGTATTCACTGGTATTCACGTATTTCTATAATAAGTGCCTTTAAAACTACACATTACAATAAAAACGATTATACGATAAATAGCTATCAAAATATCCATTAGAGAGAGAGAGAGAGAGAGAGAGAGACTTGACTTTCTATATGCAATCCAAGCATCGGTTCTCTAATTGTATGGCAAATAGTTTTTGCGTTAAATTTATATTTTAGATCAAATTCACAGAGAAGTTTAGATAAAAACGTATGGATTATTTTGTTTCCCTAAAATACCATTCAGTGATCATTTTGTCTCCATATCTATACAGATATTTAATGTTATATTTGGAGCGAATTATTTCAAAAGTATTCAAATGGATCGTTAATAATGTTGAATACAATGAGATGTTATATGAGAAAATTACCTCAATTTTACACATCATTTTCATTTTGGAAAATATTCTGTGAATTATTCTTATACTAGCTCAAACATTAGCTAAAAGTAATGTTATGTTGAGTTGTAATCACATCTAATGTTAAAAATATAAGAGTGTAATCACAAATTTTAATCACAATTTTCTTTTATGAAAAATAAAATACAATATATCTGTTATGAGAATTACAGTGTTTTCATATTATGAGATAAAGTTATGAAACATTTGTAACATATTTTCGGCATTTTGAGTTTTAATAACACTCAGCAATATTTTTCATATTAATATTATTATTATTCCTACTAAACAAATGTATAATACATTCTCTCTCTCTCTCTCTCTCTCTCTCTAACGATGTTTGAATGATAGTAGCTTTAAATTCTTTTATCTATTCTCTCTCTCAGTGCTCATGAAATGACTTCAAATAACTTACGGCTAAAAACCATTTTTATACTTCAGTACAACTCTGAAACAAAAGAGATTTTTTATTTTGTACAAAATTTGCTAGAATTTACAGATCTTGACTATTGATTTTAGTAGGCTTTCCAATGGATGGACGGATCAATTGCTACTATAAATAGTTTATTGATTTTCCTATCATATAATTAAACATTTTTTGGTATTATCTATTTTGATTATTATGGCTAAAAATCGCTTAATCATACTAATTTCATTCATAAATACTATTTGCCTTGTTTCATATATTTCTAATTTAGGTATAATTTAAATAGTTTTTTAATCAAAAGTTTATACGCTATATTTTATTTCTATAAAGTGTTTTATGTTTTCTGATTATTTTATTTTGACAATAAATTCACGTTTTTTTTTTGTCTTTGCATTCAGATTCACGTAAATCTAATGATATTTGAGGCCAGACTTCAAGCAGAGCTGTTGTATGCGTTGAGGGCTGTTATGCGACACATGACTTGAATGGTCGATACCGATGACCGCATACACCAAAGCATATAGATATCTAAAATCTATATACAAAACACTTTGGAAGACAAACTCTTTACTGAAAAAAATATGTAATAATTATTTTTAATAATAATAATAATAATCACTTTTGCGACACAAATACATACAAAACGATTTATGACTGGAAAACAACCGGAAAGATGTGAATCCGAAAAATGCCCGAAATATTCATCAAAAGTTATATTTAAATATAATTATTTTCAATTTCTCTTTCTCCTATTTTATCGTTGAAATATTTTTAATTAAAATTTTTAAAATTAATTATTATATTATTTTTACGACACACACATAAACAAAAACGAAAATTTTAAAATTAATTATAGTTATTATGCATTATTTTTTAATTATCGAGAGACAAATATAATTTATTGAAAAGTTTACGGCGAAAACAATTTTTAATGACATAATGTTTATAAAAAAGCAAACCCTATTGAAATCAAAGATTTTTAAAAGTCGAGAAAATAATAATCATTTCGATGAGAAGATTCATAAATGAAAAAACAATATATGATATGAATATCATTATAATTGAACGATAAATATAATTATTTACAAACGTTTATAGATATATATTTATATATATAATGAGACATATATTTATATGTATCTATTTACCAAATGATATATAAATTATATAATATATGACACACGAATAATAATGAACTATAAATAAAATTTCAAAAACGCATGATAGTATTGAAATGCATTTTTTGCAAAATATATATAAATATTATAATAATTATAAATATATTATGATTAAGTGATTAACACTTTAAACATATTAAATGAAAAAACAATCGTTGAATATCGACACCAAATAATTGGCTCTAATATTACCTTTCATTTGTATTATTAGTTGATAATAAATTTTAAAATATAATTATTTAAATGAATAAACAAAAGCGCATTTGAATTTATTTCATATGAAATTTTTATTACATTTTCAAACAGCAAGCTTAATTATTGACATGCTTATTGAAGCAATTTTAATTAAAATGAAGGTTTAAAGTGATTATCATTTTAATTGTAATGAATACCAATTTGAATGATAAATATTTTGCCAAAAATCCTTTCGACTTGTGTTTCAATTGTGTGGATATATTACGAGTATATTATTGTTAGACATTATAATGATTTTTCCATTCAGTCGTCTCATTGAGAGCTCATTTCATTGACGACAATATTATGATTAGCACTACGAGTGAAATCTGTGATTCAAATCAATGATACAATATTATTGATTATATGACACAATACTATAAATGATATATAAAACACAGTATAAGTTAACACTATTAATAAGCATTCATTGTTAACTGAAAGTCCTATTGAAACGTCTCATTGATGATTGTTATTATTATCTAAACTTTTGTTTCGCTTTTTTGATTTTGTTTTTGCAAACAAAACACTCGTTTTTGTTTCCTCTGAAAGAGAAAACTATTTTTCTATAATTTTTTTTATGATTTTTGTTTCAATTTTAGTACATATATTGACATAGGAATTGGAAAGTGAGACATGTGAATTTGATTACAAACAGAATATAATGATTAATATATGGAAATATATTTTCCCAGGGCATCAGGAATTTTAAATTCTTAGACAACTGCCCCTGATACAACACACAATATTCGCCATTACACAACAACAAAAGTATAAATAATTTTTATGACTACATATTAATTGTTGAGATTTGGATTTACATCGGTTTTGATGTTTTGACACAATTGTTGTTATCGTATATGATATTTGAGAGAAAAATAATAACAGTGTATATAATGTTACCATTCATACAGTGACCACTTAAACCGAAATTATTAGGTTTTTATTTTTAAATATTAAATTTTCCCATTTATCCCTTTTGTATACATTTGTCCTAAATATGTGAATATTTGTACTAATGTTATGAAAAAGTGGAAATAATTTTGAATAATTTACTTAAAATTGTGTTTAAAATCTACAATACCTACATGGTCATGTATGAAGTTGCTTATACGTATACACACTGTTAATAAAAAGTCCAGATCTCGATATCTCTCATTAAAGACTTATCATTCAAACTAACTAGCACACATAATTATTGAATATCTAATTATATATAAATATTATAGGAATTCTAGGATTTTTCAATTGTAAACTAAATAAATAATCAGTTTTTTCATCTGCCATTATATTGTGAATTGCCTTTAAATTTAGTGTTTTTATTATTCAATTAATTGATTGATTCAAGCTGATTTTTATTTCGATAATCAAAAATCAAAGTTCAAGAGACTACCACAAAGGAAATATTATATATAATATGATTGGTGAAATGAAAAGTGAAAAAGTTTATTATATTTTTGTGATTACGAGTAGAATATTCCCATTATTTTATAGTCTTATTATTATTATTGCCGCTTATTATCGCATCGATTATTATTAGTAATTATAGGTTATGATTATTATGATTGAAAACGTAAAATATAATTCAGATTATATTTTATATAATTTAGTTGTTTTTAAGTTAGAAATTTTTTTAATTTTGTTTTTGTAATCAATATGACATTTCGTATAGATTAAGTACGATTATATTTCTTATTAGTTAACTAATTGTTTATAACTTAAATAATTTCTCTCTCTATCTCTCAATTAATTAAATGTTTTTTATTGTATCAGTATAATAAGTACTAAACATTTTTTTCCTTAAATTTTAATATTATATACGAAAAAATACAACAAAAAAATTATTATGATATTAGATATGAAAAACTTATTAATAATAACAATTATAATAATGTATATAAAAAGTGAATTGAATTACACATTTTTTAGCTTGAAGAAAACTTTCATTTTTTAATTTCAAAAACTTTTAATTACCTGTAGTTTTAAAAATTGATAAAAATATGTGAATTTTGAGGCTTAAAAATACTACAAATCACTGGTTATCATAAAATTATCTAAAAAGACTAAAAGTTTGCATTTTTCTTTTCAAACCAAATTATATACCTTTTATGTGTTTACTTTAAATTTAATATAATTTACTGATTATTTTGTTCTTGCACCAATTAAAATTACAAAATACATACGAAACAAATATATGGTATTAGGATTTTTCAATTATAAATATTTCTAATTTTCAATTTTAAATATTAATAGATTATATTATCGCCGCTTAATATTGATATTATATTTAGTAATAACATATTGAATACCTATTCTGATATATTAATTGAAAATCGTGATAAAAGCAATAGTGGTTTAATTGTTAATATTCTTAATAGACTTTTCAAATTCAAATTTTCAAATACTACACAAACAAAAAACAAAATTTCTAAGTTTTAATGAAACCTATGATAAAACTTTTTGCTGACAATTACAGTAATACTATAATAACGTCTATTTCATAACGAAAACTAAACACAACTCGGAAATCAAACATTTATAGTATTAATACTAAAAATATTCAAAAGCTTTTTCATTAATAGTGTAATGATTTCTCTTCCAATTGATTGTATGGATGTTTTCATAACACAAATCAATCCGTTGTTTACTGTAATCAATGAAAAACATATTTTTTCTGTCAATCCATTCAATGGCCGATTGAATCCCAACTTATTATTGCTTATGAAATGTCAGGACATAACCCAAAAGTATTTCATTTTCTCGCGATTCAACGCTAATATAATGCTAGGGATGTGCTCAGGGCTACGGGATAAGACAGGTTATCTGTATGCCCTTAACAAACCAGCTCATTCTGACAGACTTGAGTAATATGAAAAACAATTAAAACTAAATTTTCAAATAAATCTTACATTGGATTCAAATATCAGAATCTCAGAGAAATGAGGAAAACGCGCTCAAAGTCTTTGTACACATATACTAACCATAAGTATAAATATATAGCGAAACCAAACACAACCTTCTCTTATGATTTTAATGAGATTTTTGTCCACAAAACCAATTTGTAATATTTGTCTGATTTCTAAAATCACACAATATTATGGACACTAACTATGATATAATGATTCGCACAATTTATTATTATAATTATTATTATTTCAATTATACTAGTGATTTTTAAACATTGCATACAAACACAACATGATATGAAAAAAATCTTAAGTCAAATATACCTTAAATAAAACACTCATTAAAACATGAGAAGGGAATGGGAAAAGGTATGGGATTTCATATATATTTTGCTTATTATTTAACATTTATTAGGCTACCTATTAACTATGATTATAATGATTACGATTTCTGATATCTATTGAGTTGAATATCAGATATGTCTATCCATTGTGTTTAATTGAGTTCACCACACAATCCCTATTAATTTTCAATACATAATTTGTTGGATTCAATCGGCTATTGATTATTAAAACTGATTTTTAGGTCATTTATTTTTCATCATAATTACATGATTATTGTCTCATATTTTTGCATTTTCTGTGATTTATGCTTTCAATTCGTAATGATTTATGATTTTCCCTATTATTATGTTTCTTTCTGATATTCAATTACTTACTCATTATTTCTATTAACATATTCTGTGTTTCGCATACTTATTGTGAATTCTGTGTTCACAATATATTCTGTGCCATTGTTTTTATATATAGCTCTATAGCTGTGATATAACAATGTTTTCTTACCTATCCCTAAGTCTTGCCTAACCCTTACAATCAGCACTTGTTTTGCGTATAAAAACTATTTGCCTCTAAAAACACCCGATTATTACAAATTACAAACAATTGAGAAACAAACACAAAATAAATATATCTGTTGTGTTAACACGACTACCACTTCTAATACACTATTCTCATACAAATAACATACAAATTGAATTATAATCAGATGCATCACAAAAGTACATGTCATAACACATACAGCTCCCAAAATTATAATTATATTTATGTTTTTATTTTCACCAAGTAAAACAAAACGTACACTGCTGAGAACATAGCGTATGTAATTAGTTGTAATTTTCTTTTCGGTATACAACTAATTAAATGCAGTTTTGCTTATTTTTCGGTACACTATCTCAATGTCTGGTATTTTTTGCTGTTTCTCTCATTTCTATTATTATCTGTCAGGCCTTCCCTATTCAGACAAACAGCCTTTCCTCGAGTTTTTTACGCTTTTTAAAAGTCAATAACTTTTTAATAATCGTTTGACTCATTTAAATATAATTCACTCTCTGATGGAGAAACGAGAAAATAAATAACAAAACAGAAAAAATGTGCGATAAGTGTGAAGGGATAGAGAGATATAGTTTGCGAGCAAAACACAATACAAAAAGGTTCAGAAATACACCTAAAAAACAAAACACACACAAAATACTGAGTATAATACAAAAGCAAACACTGAATTCATTTTAATGTAGTTTTCAGACATAATTGAAGTAATCGTAAGTGAAGTAAGAAATTATTTTTTGACTCCAAAAAACATACAA